CAACACACACACACACACACACACACACACACACACACACACACCACTTAAGTTTATAGATTGAAATTTTATATTTTGGTTATCAATATTTTTTACAGAAAAGTGTAAATTAACAGCAAAGCAGCTGTTCCCATCATACAAGGAACCTCAGTGCTGTCTACAATGATGATGGAAATGTACAATAGTCCATTGAAAATGTGAGTGTTGCAGGAAAATGATCAGACACTGACAGTTCGTACAGTCTGCATCTCTGGGGTTACAGTGCCTCCCACGTTTCTCTGGTCTTCTCCCCTCTGTCTATCTTATAAGGAAACGTGAGTTTACATTTAGAGTCCACTAAGACACTCCAGGAAAAACTCCTATTCTGAAAATCACTTTCCCCCTTCATCCTAGAGGTGAATTTGCCCATTTATCATATTAGATGAGTGTAAGTGAGTGCAACCAGATCTGGTCTTAATTGAAGGGCCATCATCCCCTCCACCACAGAAATGCAGTCTGGTTGATGCATGGAAATATTAAATATCAGCACATGAAGTGGGAGGAATCTTGATTTTTTGCCTCTGGCATCATGTCCAAAATGACACCTGAATTTGTTCCTATCACTGTGGGAACTTAAGGAGAACCAGTCCTGGGTGAGCTCGGGAGGGGTAAAACCCTTCCTCCTTCATCACTCATCCCCCTACAGTGTTCGCTCCATTGGCTCACAATAGCATGTGATCTAGGATGAGATTCCCTGAGACATAACTACATGATCTGGTGAAAACCCCTTTCTAGATATGACTACAGTTTGTGTTACCTGTCCCAAAATCAGTGTGTCAAAACATTGCTAAAACTAGAAACCCTGCTTTAACCTCTTCTTCCTGTGAACCCAAGAAAGAAATTGTATTTAAGGACAGAAAAATGACTTTTAAAAATCACAAAGCTTGATACAAAGTAAACTCAGGTTTCAACCAAGTTAAAATGTACCTACTCATTGTTGTGCCATTACTTTAGAAGAAGGTAGCGATAGAAACAATAGGCATTCTGCATCACCAGGAATCCTGTCACTACAACTTTCTCTAAAAGTGAAGTCCAAAGCAGATGACTCATCTTAGAGGAAATGCTATCCTACCAATGAGCTTCCCCAAGGCTTCCTTCATGTCTCTGTTCCTCAGGCTGTAAATAAAGGGGTTCAGCATCTGAGGGACCACAGAGTACATCACTGAAGCCACCGCAGTCTTCCTGGGGGAGACAGTCACTGCATAGCTAATGTACACCCCAAAACCTGTCCCATAGAACAAGGAGACAACAGACAGGTGAGACCCACAGGTGGAAAAGGCTTTGTGCTTTCCTCCTGATGAGGGCATCCTCAAGACAGAGGATACAATGTGAATGTATGAAAAAATGATCCCCAAGAGAGGAACACCAGCAAACACACAGGCTGCAACAAACACCAGGATGTTGTTAATAAGGGTGTCAGAACAGGCCAGCTGGAGGACCTCAGCTAGTTCACAGAAGAAATGGGGGATCTCCAGGTCTGTGCAGAAGGACAGGCGCAACACCATCAGAGTGTGGAGGAGAGCATCCACAATGCTGATGAGCAGAGAGAATTGAAGAAGGAAGATATAGAGGTGGGGGTTCATGATGGCTATGTACCTCAGTGGGTGACAAATGGCCACATAGCGGTCAAAGGCCATCACTGCAAGGAGAAAATTTTCCAAGATAGTAAAAATCAGGACAAAGCAGACCTGGGAGAGGCAGCCTGTGTAAGATATGCTTTGATCTCGTGCTTGGATGTTCACCAGCATCTTGGGGACTGTGGTGGTGCTGAAACAGATGTCAGTGAAGGAGAGATTGGAGAGGAAGAAGTACATGGGGGTGTGGAGGTGGGAGTCAGAGCTGATGGCCAGGATGATGAGCAGGTTCCC